AAAAAAAAAAAAAACTTCAAGTCTCTGAAGAAATTGAAGAAGGTATCAGAAGATGGAAAGATCTCCCATGCTCATAGATCAATTAACAAAGTGAAAATGGCCATCCTGCCAAAAGCAATCTACAGATTCAATGCAATTTCCATCAAAATACCAACTCAATTCTTTACAGACCTGGAAAGAAAAACTCTCAACTTCATATGGAGTAACAAGGAGCCCAGAATTGCCAAAATGATGTTGCACAACAACCGATCATCTGGAGATATTTCCATCCCTGATCTCAAGTTGTACTACAGAGCAATAGTAACAAAAACTGCATTATACTGGCATAGAAACAGAATGGTGGATCAATGGGATCGAATAGAAGACTCAGAAATAAGCCCACACACCTATGGATACTAGATTTTTGACAAAGAAGCAAAAACCATTGAATGGAAAAAAGACAACATCTTCAACAAACGGTGCTGGTCCAACTGGATGTCTACATGCAGAAAAATGAAAATAGATCCATATTTATCACCCTACACAAAACTAAAGTCCAAGTGGATCAAAGACCTCAACATAAAACCAGATATACTAAATCAGTTAGAAGAAAAAGTGGGTAAGAGTCTGGAACTCATTGGCATAGGAGATAACTTCCTAAACAGAACACCAACAGCACAGGCTCTAAGAGCAACAATCAATACATGGGACCTCATGAAAATGAAAAGTTCCTGTAAAGCAAAGGACTCTGTTGTCAGAACAAAACAACAGTCTGGGAAAGGATCTTCACCAACCCTATATCTGACAGAGGGCTATCATCCAGAACATATAAAGAACTAAAGAAGTTAAAAGCCAACAAATCCAGTAATCCAATTAAAAATTGGGATTCAGAGATAAACAGAGAAATCTCTCTAGAGAAATATAGAATGGCAGAGAAACACTTAAAGAAATGCTCAACATCCTTAGTCATCAGGGAGATGCAAATCAAACCAACCCTGAGATTTCACCTCACACCAATCAGAATGGCAAAGATCAAAATCTGAAGTGGCAATACATGCTGGAAAGGATGTTGAGAAAGGGAAACCCTCCTCCATTGCTGGTGGGAATGTAAACTTGCACAACCACTTTGGAAATTAATCTGGCACTTTCGCAGACAATTAGGAACAGCACTTTCTCAAGATCCAGCTATACCACTCTTAAGCATATATCCAAAATATGCTCAAGTATACAACAAGGACATTTGCTCAGCCATGTTCACAGCAGCTTTATTTGTAATAGCCAGAAGCTGGAAACAACCTAGATGTCCTTCAACTGAGGAATGGATATAAAAATTGTGGTACATTTACATAATGGAATACTACTCAGCAATTTAAAACAAGGAAATCATGGAACTTGCAGGCAAACGATGAGAACTAGAAAATATCATCCCAAGTGAGGTAATACAGAAAAGAAAGGTAAACATGATATATGCTCACTTATAAGTATATATTAGACATATAATATAGGATAAACATACTAAAAATCTGTACACCTAAAGAAGCTAAGCAAGAAGGAATACCCTGGGTAAGATGCTCAATCCCCATTCAGAATGACAAATAGGATAGACATCTGAAGAGGGAGAAAACAGGGAACAGAACAGGAGCCTACCACAAAGGGCCTCTGAAAAACTCTACCCATCAGGGTATCGAAGCAGATGCTGAGATTCATAGCCAAATTCTGGGCAGCGTGCAGGGAATTTTATGAAAGAAATGGGAGATGAAAGACCTGCAGGGTACAGGTGCTCTACAAGGGGAGCAACAGAACAAAAAATCTGGGCCTTTTCTGAGACTGATGCTCCAACCAAGGGCCATGCATGGAGATAACGTAGAACCCCTGCACAGATGTAGCCCATGGCAGCTCAGTCTCTAAGTGTTCCCTAGTATAAGGGGAACAGGGGCCTGTCTCTGACATGAACTCAGTGGCTAGCTCTTTGATCGCCTCCCCATGTGGTGATGTGGGGGGGTCAGCCTTACCAGGCCACAGAGAAAGATCATGCAGCCAGTGCTGATGAGACCTGATAGGCTAGGGTCAGATAGAAGGGGAAGAAGATCTCCCCTATCAGTGGACTAGGAGAGGGGCATAGGAGGGGGAAATGGACGGAGGGTGAGACTCGGGGGAGAAGAGAGATAGGGCTACAACTGTGATACAAAGTAATAAATCGTAATAAATACCTAAATAAATAAATTTTAAAAAATAAATCATGGTTAAATTAAGCTTAAATACCATTTTTTAAAACTGAACTGATATAAATAAAATGCTCAAATCTGTATTTTTTCTTGTTACTTCTTGGTTTAAAAAAATAAGCAAATGACAATAAAATAAGTGAAATGCATGATACTGAGGAATTTAGAAAAGAAATTTCCAGGGATATTTGTGGGGTGACCAATCATTATAGTGATCAACAGATTTATTGGTTAATGATGGTTATCTCATGGCCCTAAAAAGTTTTCTACTAATGGAGGATTTAATTATGTTCACTAAATGTCATTCATTAAAGCAAGAACATATTGATCCTTTAAAAACATGTTGAACAAGAAAAAGTTGAATCAAGGATTTTTTGTTTCAGCTAGAAACTTAACAGAAAGTTAAAATATCACAACACCTCATTCAGAGTATTCTGATTTAGTAGAGACTGTGTTCACAAATAGATTTAAACAAAGGTGTTGTTCACATTATACAATAAAGGTATATTGACATTCTACATGTATATCACCTTTTCTTCCTTTGCTCATTCTAAATTCCTCATAATTAGATCCTGAGTTTTTAAAATGTTTCCTACCATATAGCTAGTAACCAGTCTTGTTTAACAAATAAGTCAATTAATTCCACTTTAAAATGTACTTGGGAATTCTGTCTGCTCTATATAATAGTAAAAGCCACTAATTAATTTCACAATTCAAAAATATGTTATTTCTACATAAGGTGGCTGACTGAAAACTGCTGACCTGGTGAAGGAAAGGAATCAGAATAGGAAAAGGCGGATTATAATTTTAAATAAAGAAAGAAAGGAAGAGCGTCAGAAATTCTCTCAGCCTTGTGATGACTAGTTTTGTCTCAACTTGACACATGCTAGAGTCATCTGAAAGGAGAGAACCTCAGTTGAGCAAATGCCTTCATCAGAATGGAGTATAGACAAGTATACTTAAGACATTGTCTTAAGTAACGATTGACGCAGAATCTTCTGGCTCACTATAAATGGTACCACCTCTGGGCAGTTGGTCCTACTTTGCAAAAGAAAGGATGGTGAGGTGAGGTCCAGGCCATGCCTGTCAAAAGAGCAGGTCAGCTGCCTGCTTGCCTGCCAAACTCTCACACTCCCTCTGGTCTATTCCCAAAGACACTGGCAAGTCTTCCTTCCCCAAAGCCTGCCCTTATTGCCATGCCCTTGGCCCCAACCCAGGAGGACATATCTTGCTCAGGTACAAAGGACAGAATAAAGTCAATGAAATTATGCCTAATGGTATTCTTCTATACTTGTAGAACAGAGCCTACTATAATCTTCATAAAAGAGGCTTCATTCAGCAACTGATAAGAGCAGATGCAGAGACCCACAGTCAAACATTAGGCATAACTCAGACAACCCCAAGAAAAGGGGAATAAAGGATTGTAGGAGCCAGAGAGGTTGAGGAAGCCACAGAACATGCCCACAGAATCAAGTAAGCAGGGATCACACAGACTGAAGCAACAATCAGGGAGCCTACATGGCACTGACCTAGGACCTCTGTATATATACTATAGTTGTGTAACTTGGTGTTTTTATGGAACTCCTAACAGTGGGAGTGGTGGGCTATCTCTGACACTTGCCTGCTCTTGGGACCCTCCTGGGTTGCCTTGTCCAGCCTTGATATGTGGGTTTCTGCCCAGCCCTATTGTATCTTGTTATGCCTTGTTCGGTTGATATCCCTAGGAGGCAAGCTCTTTCTTGAAGAGAAACAGAGTAGGTATGGATCTTGGGGGGGTGGGGGGGATGTGGGGGAAGGGGACTGGGAGGAG